TATTGTTTGAAGCGACCGGTTGAGGAAGGGTGGTGGAAACTGGAGGTAAGGCTTTCACCACCCGCCAACGCTCTGTTAGCTTAATCTACATCACAGCTGCTGCTGTAGAGGACAACACGCAAACACACACACACACGTGTACACACACACACACACACACCACCTTGCTTTGGTAACTTACAAACATGCGTAGAACAGAGAGGAGAGTCCACATTGTCTTGTTTTCCGTCCAAAGAGGACAGTCCTCACTAACTGTGATCAGATTGTTGAACTACATTTACATTAATGAAGTAAATAATGAATGAGGAGACCTGAGAGATGAAGATCTACAGCTGGATGATGAGTGGAAACAGTTTGAACTCATTTGTACTGGTGTTTGTTGAGAACAGATATCGAAGGTGAAGTTCTGTGTGTGGTTTGTTGTTCTGTGACGAGACAGTTTGACCACAACAGCTTTTACTGAAGAGAAACCAAAGACCGACTGACCACGCTTTCAGAAGGCTTGGTCAGGGCAGAGGTCTGGACTGCAGTACAGACGGGTCAGGTCTGTAGTTGTTTTATAATGACAGAAGAAGACAGAGGTCGTCTTGTCAGTGAAGTTCATCGAAGGTTAGGTAACAGTGTTTCTCCAGGATCAGTGAAGTTCATCGAAGGTTAGGTAACAGGATCATTTAGAACAGGGGTCCCAACCCCTGGTCCAGGGCCAGTCCATAGGTCATTTGGTACCGGGCCGCAGTGGGACACAGTGAAAAAAATGTACTTCAGTTTTACTAATTTACTTCATTGAAAAAGAATCCAGTCATATCTGTCAATGTTTCAAAACAACAGGTCATTCAGACTCTGATACTGACAGAAGAAAGTCTGAAAGATCCTCTAACGATGGCGTGGTATTACCCGTCCGCAGTAAAGACTTTTATCGGCCGACCGATCCTTTGGACAACAAGGTTGGGGACCGGACTGCTTTAGAAGAGCTGGTAAAAGTGTAACCTACGAATGTGAAGTTTTTACAAATTTCACTTTTAGAAACGTTGACTTCATAGTAGCTTCCTTTAACTACTCAGGTAGATGATATGAGGAGGACCAATCACGGAGGTCCTGTTACTGCCGTAGTGATCAGTCAGAAGGTAACGTCCACTCACAGCCTTTAAACTGCTCTCTGGGCTGTAGAAGAAGTGTCCTGTTCTTCCTGACGGTGCAATACCGACACTGATCAGAAGAAACCCGCTGCGACGGCACTTCTCACCTCCAGTCCCTCAGGTTACAGCTACGTAAAGTCCTGACTCCACACATTTGAAGCTGCCAGCATCAATCCAGAATTTTTTTTTTTTAGATACCTCAGGTGAAGTGAGCTAAAATCACTCTCTGCTATGTTGAGCGGTTTACAAACATTTTTTTTTCCGATTCACTTTTTAACAACAGACCGATGCAGTGAACACATTCACGCAGAGATTTTATCCGAGGTTGATTCTACCTGGTCAGTACCGGCCATTTCCACCAGGAGAAAACGTGCATACTGTATGTAAGGGGTAGTGACCGAGGTGCACTGCACTTAAACATGATTAAATTTCAAAGGGTCAGCTCACTGATTGGCTGAGGGATAGACCCGTGAGGAAAGCCTGGCTGTCTCTGCAGAATAACGATGAGGTCACACTGTCCTCCATTACTTTATCTATAGGACGCTTTAAACATGTGTCGATCTGTTGTGAGGTGGTCCACATGATCACGTGACCTTCACTTCCTGCATCGGCGGCGGCGAATGTCACGCTGACCCTGATCTGACACTCCCTGAGCTCACATCACCAAACTGTAGGAGTGTAAGTAGAGAGAGAGAGAAAATATGGAGTTTGTCCAAATCCAAAACTCTAATTATTGCTAAATTATTATGAGCGGAAATCTCTAAAATAATTAAGGATTTTAAAGATAAAACTAATGAAAGCAGAACTGAAGTATTTCCCCTCTGTTTTGTGTGATTCTACAGATTATCTTTAGAAAAATTAGTGATGTAAAGCGTGAGGAAGAGGAGATGCTGAAGAGGAAGAATGAAGCCCCTCTGAATCTTCCTCCCGACCACCCAGTACGAAGACTCTTCCAGCGTTTCCGTCAGCAGAAAGAGGCCAGGCTGGCTGCTGAACGTCTCGGTCAAGCTCCCGCCGATGCAGAGAAAGGAATAGTTCCAGCGGATCAACCCGAGGGTCCGGAGATCTTGGCCTCGACCAGCATCCTTATGGTGACGGAGACCCCGGCGACGGCCTCCACCTCCTCGGCATCAACCACGTCCTCCACATCCAGGGCCTTCAGCCGAGCCACAATTCACACTCCTGCTTCGCAGAATGGAAACCTAGTCGGCTGCAAGTCTGTGGAGCCGCCAAAAGCCAAGGGTTGGGGGCGGTTCAAGGACACGGTGGTGAAGGCGGAGTCATGGAGCAGCGTCTCCAAGGCGGAGTCTATGGAAACCCTGCCCGACAGAACTAAATCTCATGACGAAGTCTCCCTCAAAAAAACGGACTCTTGCGACAGCGGCATCACCAAAAGCGACCTGCGCTTGGACAACGTCTGCGACGTCCGAACTCCGCAGGACAGGAGTCCGGTCCAGTCAGACGAGAAGAGGGTCTTCTGTCCCATTCCAGAGCACAGCGTTCAGGCCTCCTTCCTTGAGCTGAAACAAGAATTACGAGGTGACATCAAATCTCTGAACAACCGCATGGAGGCGCTGGAGGGCCAGCTAGCCGAGTTGCTTCGACTTCTGAAGTCGAGGAAGGCGTCAGGATCTTTCTACGAGGTGTCGCGACTTCCCTCTCCAGACTCCGACAAGGACAGTTTGTCCTAATCTGATCTAGGGCTTGGACGTGGACCCATGTCCTCAGGGTGTTAGAGATTGTCTTTGGACTGCAGCACCCAGCTTCTTGTCTTGCCACTTGTTGCATGTTATGGGCAATAATAAGAATCGGCTTTAATGTTCTTGTCGTAACAGGACGTCTGCACTGTGATTACTGCGATAGCTTTGACTCAGTCTTCTGGAAAGTCTGGTTCTCCAAGTCTGCTTCCCAGAACCTCCGGATTAGGATACTTTACACACCGTCAGCACTGTCCGCCGAAACTGAACGTCTTTGCACTTCAAGCTAACAGATGTAGCCACCTGCGTTAGCAGACTAACTGCTGAATTCAATGAGCCATCGTGTTCTTCCGAAACTCTTTTTTTTTTTAATCTTCAGGCAGGTTTCTGGGAATGAACCAGGGTCTAAGATCATTAGGTGTAATTAATGTACCTGCCACTTGGTGGTGGACCCACAACAAGAGCGTTCTAGAGCTTTCCGGTAGCAAAGGTTTCTTGCATGTTTTGACTGAGATTCAGAGAATTTCGGAAAAAATCCTGGTATTGAGCAATAAAAAAGAGACCACCCTGAGTTTATCGTCCGGATACATAAATGTAGACAGTGTGTCGGGGTCTAGATGTTTCTAGCACCAGTAGCTCCTGTTTACTTTAGTGGAAATGCAGACAATAATTTTCAGTTTTCTTCTACCCATAATCCTTTGTAATTCGAGGTGAATCCTAGTGCTTCGTGATACCTAAGGTACACAGTTGGTTGGAAATGCAATCATGGTCTACATTTGAAGGTACTTTGTAGAAGAGATGCAGACAATGTTCTACAGCTCCGACTCCCCCCCGCCCCCTTCTGGACACATGATGGCAATGATAACATTTTGACGTCTAATGCTGTAAAACCATTACAGAAAAATTGTGGAGTTTAATCTCCCCTAGAACACAGACTAGCAAGTACGCCCCCTACTGGATGTTGCATTTCATATCCAATTCAATAAAAAGTATACAGTATAATAACTTGCCTTTAATATTATAATAAATATTATAAGACACCCTTACATTTACCATGACAGGAAAATTAACTGCACTTTAAAACAGAAATCTCTTCCTGTAACGATTTCTTACCTTTTATTAGATTTTTTTTATGTTCATAGAAATTATTTAAAAAAAAACATCATTCATCTGTAGTCTTATTACACTCGTAATACATTTTTCCAAAAGTAATAAAAAAATCAATATCTTCACTTTAAGCCAACCTAAGAATATGAAATATTAATACATTTCTTATTCCCCCTGAAATGCACTTCCATACCACAAGGGGTTGGGAAAGTGTGTTCTACAGTCAAAAGGTAACTTAAGTGAAAATTCCCTTTTCTCGTCTGAAAATGGAACATTAGAGACAGTCAAAAGGTAACTTAAGTGAAAATTCACTTTTCTCGTCTGAAAATGGAACATACTGCATGACATCACAGCCATTCCTCCATGTGTTTCTGTTGAAAACTTTGGAACTTTTAAAGGAGAATTGTTGACGTCACTTTGATGTTTTTGATGCTAGCTGTACGTTGGTCTGTCCAGCACCTGTTGTTATGTTTGGACTTGATCCTTGATGACATGTATCAACACTTCTCATCTTCAGTGTCGCGTCTAAACACAGCACCCCCTGCTGTTCAGACTATGTAGTGACGTTGGCAATGAACGTGTGAAAAAATCAGATCCAAACTTTTTACTTGCAACGCTTTGCACATGCGTAGCTCTTAGTAGTAAAATTGTACATTTGTCATTTCTTCCGCATGTGCCTCTCGTTATGGCCTGACCTTGCCCTGTTAAAGTCCTGCCCTGGCTATGCATTTCACAAAGACATTTGTAAACACACGCGTCATGCTACATAACAGTACATTTGCTAATAGCTCAATATTAATGCTACTGTTACTAAATAGCTTGTTTGCAGCGTAACTGATGCTAGTGCTTTGCCGAAAGCAGCACCAGTGTTGGAAAATTAGCCAACGTTACATACAGTAGGTAGCCTGGTATCCTGAGTGGAGGATGTTGTGGCAGAATGGAATTCACCGTTACATGAAGGACAATGCAAGTGTGTGCGGTGTGTTAGTGAGGGTCCAGATGTTAATTTTTTATTTTATTTTTTTATTTTACCAAAGCCATGTTTTTTAATGTCCACCATTTGTTGTTTTTTAATGTGCATGTCAAAACATGCTCATGTAGAACAGTGTTTCTCTGAATATATTTCCCTTTCCAAGTACGACCAACTAGATTTACTATAGAAAAAAGAATTTATTCCTATTTTTAAGCTAAAGCTAAAGTAGTACTACAATTGGTATTTAAATTAAATTCTAAACTGTACCACTAAAAGGCGCCCAATCAAAGGCTGCATGGGTTCCGTGCTAACCTGAGGTGTGTGTTTGTCCTGAGGTTGGACTCTACTGTTTCCTGTGTCGCTGCAGCTGTTATCTGTCGTACTAATATGCAATAACTGTTGTGTGTTTGTAGTGTGCGTCCTCAGACTGTACTCCTCATATCTGGACACTGATACACTTTGGTGTTTTTTTTTTTTTTTGTCACTGCATGAAACTGGTGTCGACTTTAAAACAGACAAATGTCAAACATGGAACACTCCACTTTCCTCTGAACACACTGGTGGATCTCAGACGTCACTTTGCTACGAAACCTGAAAAAACTGAAGATAATGTGTCAAATTCACAGCGAGCATGAAAAAAAAATCTGCTGTGGAATATGTGAGGATTTCGACTTCATGTTAGAGTAAGGAATGAGTATTTGTCTGCACTCAAGGGTGAATAATTTAAAAGATTGAAAAGGTACACAATAAACTGTTTTATACTTTCCTCTTTTCATACCTTCCTTCCGTCTATCCTTTATTCCTAAATTCCTTTCCCCCTTCTCTTTAGTCACTGTTTTATTCTTTTGAAATTTCTTGCTTTTATTTTAGACATCTCCTTTCCTTCCCTTTTCCCTCTGTCACTGCTTCTCCCTGATTCTATACATGTCTTTTATTCTTCCCTTCTGTCTCTGTTTTTTCCACTGTCTTATTTCCTCTCCTTTTTGTGTGTCTTCCTCTATTCTTGTTTCCGCTTAGCCCCTTTCTCTCACTCTCTCTCTTTTAATACACCAGGGAATCCCTAAGTCTTCCCCAAACATGTAAAACATCCTCTCTGCAGTCTACTCCCTCCCCCTCCCTCCATCACAGTCTCCTGTTTTTCCTCCTCCTCTTTTGATGATCTGCATTGCAGTACCTACCTTCCTTCCTCTATTCGATCAGCAGCAGGTTGACGCTTCTTTCCTTTGTCACTGGTGCTTTGGCGCCCTCCACTGAGCATCAGCTGGAACTACAGAAGCTGATCATAGGTCAGCTGATCGTATACTGTAGTTTGAGAACCGTTGTTCCAGTAAAGTCTGAAAAAAGTTACGGAGACCTCAGATAAGTTGCTCCTCTGGTGGGCAAAAATTGTAACTGCAACTGGCTGGGTAATATATTTTTAAACGGGCAACGATAGTTCACTCCCCTCTTTCTTCCCTCCTGTTCCAAGCCCCGCCCACATCCAAACTTTCTATCTCAGGTGTCATAGCAACAGGTGAAGTCTCCCATCTGATTGGCTGCCAGCCCTGGACTCAGCATCAGTCAGAAGTGCTGAGCGGAGTCTGTTTTTTGTTGTTTTAAACCCAGCACCACCTCCTCCCGGGCCCTTTCCCTCTTTATGTCTTTCTGTTGTTCAGCTGGTTTGTGTTTGTGTACCGACTGAAGCTTCTAGCCTGAGGGGAAAAAGAAAAACTGCAGCGTTGGACCATATATGTGCCTCTGCGCTGACGCCAGGGGCAGAAGCTAACAAATGTGCGGGGTGAATTGGTAAGTGCCGTGTGCAAACGTAGGGCGTGGATGTATATTAGAGCTAAGTTGGGTGTTTCTGACGATGTAGATGATTTTGTGAATGATGCCGACGGTGGCAATTATAATAATGGAAGAAATAACGTTGGTGCTGATGATTAATATGACGATGTTGCTGTGAGTGGACGGAGAATGGATGACGAAAGCGTCGAACCAGGTTATAAGATTTTACTGTCAGTTAAGTTTTTCTATTCATGCTAATGTTGTTAACAAACATAATTCTACGGAGGTTTCTAGAAACAAATTAGAAAGGACCGGACGAGTCACAGATTTTAACAAACTTGGAAGAAAAACTTTTTTGTTTGTGGCAACACGAAGAACACGTCGATGTGGAGTCCCAAGGATTCGGAATTTTACAAAAATCAGGGAAGTTGAAGAAAGAAACTCATATATTCCTCGTAGGACACGAACGAAAAATATATGTTTATAGTGAGTACTACAACAAAAAAGAAGAAAAGCAAGAAAAAACACAAGGAAGTAAGATGAACTCAGAAAGAGACAACAGGACCAAACAGGACATCCTTAAAGACACTAAAGCAGCGAAGTCGGATCCTTAATTTAAACCTTGGAATCAGCCGTCATCATGTTGAGAAGAAAGCACAGATTCTGGGGCCTTGTCCTAAGGAGGATCAGACTCCAAACAACCTGATTAACCAGGAGGAAGCGGCTCGATCAGCTGTACAAACAATGCTACTCCTGATACATTTAACCTCGTTCGACATCAACAATGGCGTCGGCGCAGCTCTTCAAAATTCCAAACGTTGCTAGATTTCTCTTCAGTCCTGTTGAAGTGATGATCCTCAGTTTGTACAGAGGTCCAGCTCTTCGCCTGCTTTCAGCCGTGATGACAAAATCAACTGACCTGAATGTGGCATGTGTTTGATTTACCTCTACAGGAAGATGTTTGTCAACTGTTGTCATTGCTTAATATAATGAATTGAATTAGGGAGTGATGAAAATGGAAGTTCTTTAAATCAGTCAGATTAGAACGGCTTGTAATAACAAAAACATTTTGGTACATTAATGTTTCTATTTATTTTAAATATTTTTTAATAAGCACATTTAAATGTGGAAACCTCTGGATTTTTTTTAATTTAGTTTGTTTTACTGTGGTTGCCTGGTATTGTTCATAATAATGTTAGCCAGTTTAGCTGTGTTTTTTGTTTTTTATATTTTTGTTGCCTGGTATTGTTCATAATAATGTTTAGCTGTGGCATTCTGTTTTACATTTTCAGGCTAACATTAACTTCCGTGGCAGGTCACTGATTTATAATCATTCTAGGGTAATGTTAGAGGCTGCTAATGCAGGATTTTCTATTTGGTTGATTTATTTATTTTTGCGGTTCTGTTTAGATTTGATGTGTTTACTGCTGCATATTGTGATGATTTTTTTTTTAATGGTTACTGCTAATGTTAGCTTCTCCTGCGTTATGTTTTTGGTTGATGTTGTGATCAGTTGTTGGGGTTTATGCTAACATAGGTTTTGATGGTCAGGTTTCCTAAGGGGACGCTCCTGAGAAGCTGGCTGACCAAGTCGCGTCCGCGGTTACTGCTGCTGATCGCAGGGTTGAAGAAGCCTCAGGTGACGCTAATGAGGAGGAAGAGGATGAAACGCACCAAAGTAGCAAAGGCCACGTAAGCGGTAAATATGGCTATGGTTCCACTGAGGGAAAACTGCAGGATCTTATGACAAACGACTAAAAACAATATGCTGAGAAAAACCAAGTTTTTAACAAAGGTTTTGGTTTTTTTTATTACCTTTTCCTTTTCTTAAACTTTGTCAAGTTTCTTGTATATTTGTTTCTTGCAGCACCTGCAATCGAATGCCTCACTTCACCTGAGCCCTGGATGGAGACGACTTCCTGGGTGAGAATGGCCGCCACAGACGAGGAGGTGAAGCCTCAGGTCAAACGAACTCAATGTCAGGAACAGCATGAAAAAGTGACACAGGAGGACAAACCACAGAAACCAAGGCCTCCAGACTGAGGAGGATTCAAACCTGACTCACTTTTTCACTTCAGTAATGGACTCGTCAGAAAAATCCAGGGGGCGCTCATTCATTCGCTCACATTTTCTTAGGTTTCCAAAAGAAAATTCAACTGCTAATTAAACTCTGTGATGTTACAGGACGCCAAGACTGTTTCACATTCTTCTGTCAGTGATATTGCACACAGGAATACTTTTCATCACCTGAAAATACCTACAAAATATGCAGATAAACCGTGGTCTTTGTAAACAGCTCCCTCTAGTGAGGAATTTCACATAAAGAGCAGCAAATTTATTATTTAGATTTTAGACACTGACACTGACATAAGTTAAAGCCTCCACTCAAATTTATTATTTAGATTTTAGACACTTACACTGACATATAAGTTAAAGACCCAGCCTCCACCGGTAATATTGATATCAATGTGTTTTAACATTGGCCTTTAAAATCTTTAATTTAACTTAGTGACATGAACTGACCACACGAGGCAGCAATTCACAACTAACGCCGAGTCTCACTGAGCCAAAAACAAAATCTTCTATTGTCTTGTCTGAAGAGAAAAATAAAACATCATTGACCAGATATTGTAGACTTAAGTTCCTCTTAACTACCTGCTGATGTGTAATTATCTTCTATAAACACATTTAATATATACTGTATATATATACACATATATATAGTACTTTCACACGTTTCTGAAACCCGTCTCATGTTTTATACAAGGGAGTCAAACGTTGTCAGACAGATGTTTTAATACAAAAATGTCTAAATTTTTTTATCAAATTTTGTCAAGACATCCAGTCTCTCAGGTGTCTCTTAAAGGTTTGACAAGTTACAAACGTGTTACATCTTTGTTAAGCCTGGAGGTGTGTTGTGTTTTTCAGCCGTTAAAAATGGAACAATTTTGAAATTGACAAATATTTCTTTAATATTTTTGAAGAGGCTTAAATGTGAATCTATTTCTGCCTTTTCCAAATAACAAATATTCAATTGGATCATGATTTCATTCCTAAAATGAGACAAAGAAGCAGGTTGTAAAGTTGTCTGCTGGAAACACAACCTAAATGAAAGATATGTAGAGAAATCATTCTGTTATTTTTTATAAAATAAAAGATTTTTATTATTACATTTGTCTGAGAACTCTTTGACCTCCCCTTGGCTGCTTTTAACAGCCTCAAACACAACAGGAAGTCAAGATCTCACAAAAATCTGTTTGTACTTTATTTCTCCCACCATGTCAAAACATCGTAAACCATCCAGGTTGTTGTATCCTCTGAATTTAAGTCCAGATTCCATTTACAGCTGCACTTCCTGTTGTGTTTGTCTGTTGGTGGTTGTCACTGGACAATAAAACAATTTTACGAACCAGGTTTGTGTTGATTTTGTGGCACTTCTTCAACAGTCCTAAAAAAATCTGCTGCTGACAATTTAAAAAAAAAAGCCACTTGGATTGTATTTGGAAATTTTTGATGGGAAACCTAAAATAAAATTGATCCTTTTTTTTTTCATTTTGGATTATCTGTCGTTTTTGTCAATGTTTCTCAATGATAAATGAACTTTTCACTCAGTTTACAGGTTAGCCTGAAGTACCGAGATGAAGCTACGAACGTCTGCAAAGTCCACGAAGAAGAACCAGCGGTAACAGCTGTGAAGGTGAACACTGTTAGGGAACATTCTCCAAATATTAACACAGGGAGAAAATATAACAGAGGCGTCAAGAGGGTAAACTGTAAAGTACAAGGAAAGTGCGTGTGTGAGTGTTTCCGTTATCCTGAAGCCCAGTCACATGACAGGCTGTGCTGCCTTCAGGGACTCACGTTACGCGGACACAAAACAGTAAATTGTCTGTAAATATGTAAATATAATTACAGTTTAGTCAATATAAATTTTTGTTGATAAAAGAGGGGACTGCAATATTCTGAAACAAAGTTTATGGAACTGAAAAAACAGCTGTTTATATATTTATAATTTGAGAAAAATATCTCTGTCGTTTATATCGTTTTTATTTATGTCTTTTAAACCTATAAAAAGGTCAATTTTTTTATTTAATGTTTTCGACGTATATCTTTTCATCCTTTCTGCCTTTCCCCCCGTCCTTCGTTTTCATTTAAATTCGACCATTTTATTTAATTTTTAAATGTTATAGTTCCGCCACTGACCAGCAGATGGCTCTGGAACTTAGTTTTGAGCCAAATCCAGTTACCACGTCATTCTCTCTGTGTATTCATGTGTGTGTGTGTGTGTGCAGTTGTCCTATCCTGACTTCCTCTCAGGTCAGTGAACGCCTCACGGCAGCAGAGATGGAGCTGCAGCTGGAAAGCAACACAAGAAGACGAGCAGCAGAGTGAAGCTGTGGGATTTGGAGAACTCCGGTTCATGTCTGCAGATCACAGTGAGGACGTGTGTGAGGACAGAAGAAGAAGAAGAAAAGAAAAGAAAATCTAGAAGAGTTCTGGGATCTGGACGTTTATGTGTAAAATAAGAAATGGCAGAAAAAGACGAAGAGAAGATTTCTGATGAGTCTGCAGGAAATGGAAAGGAAACACCGAACGGAGGAAACAATCCGGCTAAAACCAAAGAGGTGTGACACAAACACACACACACACACACACACACACACACGACGAAGCAGTAAAGTGATGGACTCTGCTCCTCGTTAATCTGACTGGTATTTCCTTTTGTTTCAAATAAACTATGATAAGGAGACGAACACACGAGTGCTGCCAATAAAATATAAATTTAGCAAAAACTGATAAAACAACAGATAAAAAAACTTGCCAGGATATACTCACTTTATTTCGAAAAGTATAAACACACATTTCCGGAGTTTAAAAACATCCAGAAACTACAGCAGGAACAAGAATGAGCTTTGAAGAAAAGACACACACACACACACACATACACACACACATACACACACGGCACATGCATGTGGCATAAAGTACATCACGAAAATGTATCTTTACAAAGGCTTGAAAAAACCCAATGACTTTTTCTATCTTTTTGTGTCACTCTCAGGACTTGGACCTGGCCTCCGTCTATGTGTCGGACGCTCAGTACAACAGAAACATCTTCTTTGACACGTCCCCTCAAGCTGTGAGGTAAGATCATCTTCACTGCCGGCTCCACCTGGGGCAGAAAAACAACAGAAACAAACAAACAAACAATGAATCAAATTAAGACTCAGCTAAAAAACATCTCCATCAGTTTAGCTCTGAGCTCAGTGTCTGTCCAGTTTTCTCATCTCGTCTGTGTTCGTACCCGTGTCCAGACTCTACCTGCTCTACAACCACTGGGTCCTGAAGGTTCTTCTTTACTTCTTCATCCTGGCGGACCTGTTTCTGGCCGTGTTCGAGGAGCCGGCCGTCTTCCCTCTGCCCATCTGGGTTTGTTTTGTTGAACTCCGTTCATCCAACCACAACATGGTTCTCTGCATCTGCAGTTGTCATTTGTCTCACGTCACCTGGTTTTTTCTTTTTTAGGCAACCATGTTGGTGGAGCTGGTCTGTGTCCTAGTCTTCACGCTCCGGATCGTTCACTATGCCAAGGTGATCCCAAGAGACAAGTTCTGGAAGGACGCCAAGAACATCTGCATCATCGTAGTCCTTGTGGTAACACCTCACACTCCTTCATCTCTGAACATTCAGAATTCTTTTTTTTACCTCTCTGACTCAGGCTTAATTTTGCTGTGACTTTATTGCTGGTCTCTCATTGGTCAGCTGTGTCCAAATAAGCAAAATATAATCATTCAAATATATTAACTTTGGTTTTTAATTATAATTATATTGAGGTTATATTTACTGTAAGTCAATTTTTTTTTTAAATGTTTTGACTTTATGCTATTATTTTTCACCTTTTCTATCATATTTATAACCTGATTTCTAGTCTTCTTATGGCTGATGTCTATATATATGTCTATATATATATATATATATATAGACATATATAGTGTAGTGTGTATGTGTGAGTGTTAATGCTGAGTCCAGTTCCTGTGTATTTGATGTGACCTGCCGACACAGAAAGTGCTGAAAACTCTTTCCGACTGTTGTTGTGAAATAACCTTTACCCACTGCTGCTGCTGCTGCTGCTGCTGCTGCTGCTGCTGCGTCAGCATCTTTGAAGCGCAGTGTTTTCCTGGCGACTCAGTTTCTGCTCCACAAATACTATGACACAACTACTCTGTCTTTATTCACAAAAGTATCCATGCACAGAGGCCAACACAAGTGAACTCGCTGCCCGTTGTTTGGCCTAAACAAATCAGGCTACAATCGTCTGTCTACTGCCCCCTGTTGATAACAGCTGAAGAAGACATGGCTAACTTCGCTTTTTCACTTCACTAGTAATAAGTGAAAGCCGAGGTGTTGTTAACATTTAAACTGTGTTGTTGATCTAGCTCACTCTGGTCGACATGATCATCTACGGAGGACTCAAAGCTGCCGACTGTTATGGCCTGCGCTGGTCCAGAGTCCTGCGTCCTCTCCTATTGGTCAACGTCACAGAGGGACGACAGGTAGAGTCCCGCCTCTATTTCCATCACAGATGTTTTTTCAAGAGTATTTGTGCAGTTGTAGAGTTGTCTGCATGAATGTTTGTTTGTTTTTTCATCAGCTGCGCCGGGCATTCAGAAACATCCGGAATGCTCTGCCTCAAATCTTCTACGTCTTTCTGCTCTTCATGTTCAGTGTCCTCATGTTCTCCCTCATGGCTCTCAAGCTCTTTGCGAAAAGGTTAGTGTGAAGTTTTTTTTTTTTCTCCATCAGGTTTAGAAATTGTTAGGAGTGAGTTAACCTGTCCTGAGTCTACAAAGATAAGTTAATAAGTTAATAGGTTAACTATATAAATGAGAATATGACATAAACATGGCTAAATGATAAGTTGAGTTTTGCTAGGTTGTAGCCAAACATGTAGCACTGTGACTTTACCAACATTTGGCATAAAAAATGATGTTTTTTGTTAATTAAAGATAGGTGAATGTTGACAAATATTCACCAAATGCAGCTTTAAATGATCCTGGACAATTATTAAAATGCAGGCAAAAGAAGAATACATTAGTTAAGAACAAAGTTAGCTAAAGCTAACCTAAGCTAAGTACGAGTTAGCTAAAAAGTTAGACATATTATAACAGTTGACTCAGAAGTGCTAATGATAAAATGTGCAGCTAGTAGAAGAAAAGTGAAATGTTTACCAAAACAGCTAAAGGTTCAACAGTTTTATTTTTCCTCTGCAGAAATTTGACCATGATTGACGGCACGCCGTACTTCACCAACTACCTGGAGGTGGTGTTTGACCTGTACGTTTTGGTCACCACAGCCAACAGTCCTGATGTCATGTAAGAATATTTTTTCAACATCTCTTCCTTGTTTCCAATAAGTCAAAACAATTCATAATTACATTTTTTTTTTGTTAATTTTTGGCAGGATGCCAGCATACAACTCTAGCTTCCTCTTTACCATCTTCTTTATCGTGTACATCCTCATCAACACCTACATCTTCATGTCTGTCTTTTTGGCTGTTGTCTACAACAACTACAAAAAATACCTCAAGGTTTGGTTGTTTCGTGTGATACCTATCTCTGTCTCTCTCTCTTTCTCTGAACATAGGTTCAGAGAAATTGGCAAGAGAAAAAAAACGATAATCAGTTCATAGTAACTGTTTCTATTTCAACAGGGAAAAACAATAACAGCAATAAAAATGGTTTTGTTTCTGTTTCTGTCCACTAGGCGGAGGTACGGCAGCTGGTGAGAGCCAAGCGACACAAGATGGTGCGAGCGTTTGCTGTCCTGCAGGAGCGTAGCGCTGAAGGTGAAGGTGAACCAGTCGTGACGAAGGCCAACTGGAACCAAGTGGTGCGACTGGTGCGACCCGACATCAGTAACGCCCACAGGGAGCTGCTGTGGAGCGTCTCCGATGACAAAAACCAGGGCTTCATCGGTCGGTCACCTCACTGACAAAAACTTTCAGACTTAAATGAGGTTTTATTTGGGCTAAATTGTCAATGCAAAGATCCCATCTTTAATCCTACAACACGTGTTACACTCTGACAGGAAAGGTGGCGTTTGTCCAGCTGGCAGACTTGCTCAACATCGAGGTCATCACCTTAAAGTCTAGGCCACACCCACTTAGTGTTTTATGCCCAGCCTTCTACCTGTCGGCGCCCAGCCAACTGGTGTGTCGGATGGTCCAGCATCGGTGAGTGTGATTTTAAATTTTTTTTTTTGTCACACATTTAATTGAAAAGACCCAAAGAGTTGTGACTGTTCTGCTCTGACTGTTTGACAACCAGCGCCTTTGTCATTGTCTACGACCTCATCATCCTGGTGAACGCTGTCTTCATCGGCCTGGATGAGGAGAATCCCATGATTGCTAACTCTGAGTGGGTCTTCCTGGGGCTCTACATGATCGAGATCCTGCTCAAGCTCTACGTAATCGAACCACGGGCGTTCTTTTCCAGACACAGCTTTTGGAACTGGTAAGGACGCTGGTCCAGACTCTGATGATGAAGTCAAAAAAGTAGCTATAAATTAACCAAATAAAAAAAAATAAAAGAGCTTATTAAGAAAATCTGGTTTGTGTTTTTGCAGGTTCGACACCATCATCGTTGTTTCAGCCCTCATCGCCACCGTCATCAACTCTGCCATGAAGTCATGTCAGTGATGATAGATTTATCAAGAGATTTTTGTGTGAAAGACAAGTTACTCAGTAAGATGCTAATCTCTGACTTTCCTAAACTTGTTGTTGTTATTATTGCTATAACCATTTCCAGCGGGGGGCTACACGAGTCAACAGATCCTGGACATCGTCTTCATCCTGCGAGTCCTCAGACTGATCCGAGTTGTGGACAGCATTGAAAGGTGTGACGTCAGAAAAGTCACTGTTTTTTATTGCTCATTGCTTCCTCTAGCTTAGAGACAATGATAAAGTGATGCTCTGCTAACAGTGAGGACTGATGTTTTACAGGTTTCGTACGATCATCAACACCTTGATACGAATTGGACCAGCCATTCTGACATTTGGACAGCTGATCATCGTGAGTTACAGTAGGAAGAGCACAACCGCTGTCAAAGTTTTGAAAAGAACAGTCAAAGTAATCTTAAATTGACCAAAACATTATTCATATTTAACAATGAAAGGCTGAAGTTATTCAAAAGACTTTATTACAGTAAATTATTCCTTTTAGCTCCTTCAGGCTAACTGTGTAACATATATAAGCTTGGCGCTATCTATGCTAATGTGGCTACAATGTGTTAGCCTTTATTTCTGTGGCTAAACATGTGGCTTTTATTACAAACTTGAATTGAACAAAATGAAAGTGTGAACGGCCGATGGCGCTAAACCCTTACTCCTGAAAAACTCAGTAAATTATTTTTCTAACGTTATCAGGACGGCATTTGTTGTCGAATCTAAAACTGTGCTAGCATCCCAACACCTCTACAGTCCTAATGCTCCCTGGTGGTCGATAGGTGGTGTATTATGTCTTCGCCATGATCGGGATGGAGCTGTTCCAGGGAAAGGTGAAGTTTTATGACTCCAATGACCCGGGGAGGATGAACTGTGGTAACCCTCTGCTGACTGGAACGTCCTTCGCTAATCTTGGCTACTGCAAAAATAACTTCAACAACGTGGTTTCCTCTTTCATCCTGTTGGTGGAGCTCACCGTGGTCAACCAGTGGCATGATATCCTTTACCTGATCACGAAGGTCTTACAAAAAAAATACAACTCACGATGACAATCTTACAGGGCCTTCAACAAACGGTAGCTCCTGCTATGGTTATGCTACGTTTCTTAGAGTTCAGTTTTTTTGTAAATCGAGTCCAACAATAATAGAAAACAAATTACACATGATTCAGATGTTCCAACCTTGACTTGCCTGTACTGCTCAGCAGCGGCTTTGCTATAACCACTCACAAGTCAGCCAGGGTCTTCTTTGTGCTGTTCCACATCTTGGTGGTCATCATCATCATCAAGTAAGACCAAGTGATGCCTGACCAAAACCAGCCACACTCGTTGTCATGCTAACTTCACGCTCATGTACCTTCATTTACTGTCGTTTTGTCTTTCAGCATTTTTGTGGCCTTCGTCCTGGAAGCTTTCTTTGTTGAGTACTCGGTGGATAAGAGTGACCTCCAGAACTCTGTGGAGAAGAAGATTGAGGAGCTGCAGCTAGCTGTGGAGCAGTACGTTAGCATGTCCTCCTAGCCAGCCTTCAGTAATATACTATTGTCCCTTGAAGAGTCTCTGTTGTTTTGTTATTTAGGGAAAAGTTGCAGGACAACCTGGTCGACGCCATGGAAACGATTGACAACGACTTAGGAAACAACCAATCACGGACAACAAACAAACAAAAGCTGATGTTCAAAATCGCATCAAAAAGTAAGTCAGAAGATTCAGGTAGTTCACGTCGTATGTGTGAACGTCAGAAGATTCAGGTAGTTCACGTCGTAGTTCAAGTGCCTTCAGCAGCAGGTTTCGACAAGTGTGAATAATTGTCGTGAATATGTGTGAACGGGGGAATAACAGTTGGATTGGCTGATGGAATCTTCTGACTCTGTTTGTGTTTCCTTCTTTTTTTTTCCAGGGTATCGAACTGTCGACGCCTTATTACAACGTATGTTTGAGGCAGATCTTGACCCCAATGACTTTGCTGACAACGAAGATTGTGATAATCCAAACAACGGGAACTTTTCTAACCCCGCGTTCAGTTCTGTGTAAACGCCGGCGTATAAATGTATATGAAGGGAACCAGATTCTGCATCAGATTCTGCTTTGGACACGGATTCTGTGTCTGAAACTATTTTTATATTTCCTGTTGAATTGTCAAATATGTATTTTCACACAAAGAGCATTTACCCTGCATTCTATTTTGCTTCAAAATGAAATTCTACAAAGTTTACACTGTGTACAGAATAAACATGTACATTTAAGAAATATACTTTTAAACATGTCTACACACAGACTGAAACTATTTTATTTTTATAATCAACCTAAAATAAACTAACACTAAAGACTAAGATAAAATTAAATAAATTTGATATTTTCTCTGATGATATTTGAAATACAAGCTATTTTTACCAAATACTCTCACAGGTGATCGTTTTTATGTTAAATTCAATGATTTCTGAGTTAGCTCCGGAGTCTCCAGGGGGCGCTCCCACTGATACTTGAGGCAAAAACGTCAATGCCAACTTGAAGTGTAGCCGTCGAAGTGTAGCGTCTTAAAAATGTAATTTCGTCCGATTTTTTTTCTTCAAAATATGACACTCGTTCCACTAACGGTATTTGAACAATAATTTATCTTATATTTATCTAATATTAAGGTGAGTCGTGTTATTTCTGTGTACTAGTTGTGGTGCTAGTTAACCAACCACTTGTATTTGGTGAGTAGTTATTAGCTAAACGTTTTCTCCTAGCACATGTGCTGCTGCTACCGTTACGGTGGAAAACTACAAGGCTTCGGCCACAGCACGGCCGTAGGCAGGTCATGGGAGGGTTAGTGCTTGAACTACACTCTGGAGCGTGTCTTAATGATTGATGGTATTGAAAAAAATAAAAGCTTCAGTGACGGTGATGCAGAAGAACAGTACACTATAATGGCGGGTGGGGAGAGCAGGCGTTCAGGTGCTGCCCAGAGGGTGGGACCGTGGATGGGCCTGAACGTCATCATCAATGATGCAGGCAGCTGTCCAATTTGACACATCACACACCGACTAAAGCACCGCCTTGTGGTTTCAGAATAAAATAACAGTCTGTGCCAGACAAAACATTAAAAAAACGTATCAGGCGTAACCAAGCTACCTTTATTTACTCGTATGCCGTGTGCAGATATAGCCAAATTTATCTCACGTATTTTTTTTTTACCAACTTCGAGTTTTTAGTTCTAGTACTATGTGTTGCCACATCCCAAACTGTAAAAAAACCCTGATAAGTTGTTTGATATTTGTGTCAATATATATATATATATTATTTATTTAAAAAATGATAAATATATTTTTATATTTTTGTTTTAAAATGGATCAATATACACAATTGTAAAATAAATATAAGAATATGCAGAGAAAGATATTTACCAATATGCTAAATGTATACGTTTCGTAAATTTACGTAAAACGTCGATTTTTTTTTGTATCTCCTGTAGGGCTTTTATTTTGAAAGCTATCAGCGGATGCCTTACTGCTGCGGCGGTGGAAGCTTGACTCTGCAGGAGTCAGCGCTGCAGTGCGGACAAACAGGCAGGAGCTGCCGGAGAAAGCTGCCACCACCGCCCGCCTCAGCAAACGCCTCAGACTCAGTATCAGCCTCGGACTCAACATCCGCGCGCTGCCGGAGCTGCATCTGTTGGATCGGCCGGATCTGAGTCTTTGACCCGGTTCTCCAGGAGGGAGGAGGACGCCGCCGCAACACAGCCTCCGCATCCTCCTCCTCCTGCATCTCCTCCTGCAGCCTCCGCCGCGGCATGATCTGCTGCATCCGGGATTTAACATCTCCGACCGCAGGCGGCTGCAGTGCTGCTTCGATCTGAAACAACAACCGAGCCAGTTGACGCTGATATTGCGGGGAACTGAGGAGGGACAAGTGGAGGGGACGCCAATGGAGGTGTAGCGCCCTCTGTCTGCAGAGGAACGGTGGGTTTTCTGGACGTTTTGTGTCGAAATAAAATCCCAGATGAAGATTCCCAAAAGGCGGAAAAGGAGCGGACGGTGCGCCAGGTAAGGACGGGCCTACTCCGTGCCAGAGCATATCATTGTGTGTGTGTGTGTGTGTGTGTGAGAGAGTGAGTGTGTGTGTGTGAGTGTGTGTTTGCCTGCCCCTGTGTGTGAGTGGGTGTTGATGCTGTGTCACTCATCAAAAACGTATCTTTATCTTCAAACCGTTGTGATTTTTTTAAAGTAGGGTCAGTCCGGGCCAAATATATTTATTTATTGATCATCAGGAGGTGATGGTTCTGCGCAGGCGTACAGCGCGTCCATGACTGTGCACTGCAGTGATGCAGAGGGAGGAGGGGGTGGGGGTGGGGGGCCACACCGGAAGTATGACTTTTTCTTGTCTTTTATTCAATCATGCATGTCAAAGATATATCGTGAAATATTGAAATTAAATATTAAACATTACATTTTAGTCACTGGCCACTTTATTAGGTACAACCTGCTCCGACCCAGTTCTGCCTCTTCTTCCTCTTAATTCTTTATGTCACAGATTCATGTGAATGTTACATCCACTCCTTGGAGATGTTCGGTCCGTGCTGTTGTGACTGAATCACACAAACCCTGCAGATCAGTCAAATGTCGAGCTTCTGTTCCAGATCATTCCAAAAGTCTTGTGATGGATTCGGCTGCAGTTGGTTCTAGTGACAATGGAGATGGAAACCATTGACTATGTTTTGGACAGGGAGTGCTGTCTTGCTGGGATAAAACCTAGAGACATTAAAGAATGTAAATCATGATACAGATGCACTCAGTTTATGTTGTTAAGTTGGAGTAAAAAAAAACAAACTAATCTGGGCCATGTGGTAGAGCGGTGGTCTGTGTTCTGGTTCTAGATGAGGAAGAGAACCGGTCGACTGTTTCCATCGTCTGTATGATCCTCCTGAGTTTGAATGTGTGTTTTCCCCCAGTTCTCTGGTTTCCTTCAACCCCCCAAAAAAGATGCAGGATTGGGTAACCGAGCACTCCACATTGATCTTAGGTGTGAATGTGAGTGTCCCAGTGTGACCCAGTGCTGAGAGGGGAACTGTCCACAGTGAACCCTGCAACCCTGATGAATATTTCAAGAGTGGAAAAAAAAACCCCACAAAAATAGGCAAGAATACAATACAGTACCTCTATCTATTGACATGTCAGAGTAGCTTTGGGGTGTGTTTTAGTATGGGTTTGTTTTTCAGAGTACTTTGTCATCTTCTGTTTTTTCCACTCTTCCTGTCAGCTTTCCTCAGCTCAAGTTTTTCTTTTGTTTGTTAGTATTAAGAATAATTAAAAAAAACATTTCAAGAAATGTACAGAACATTGTATATCAAGAAGTTGATAAGATAAGATGTTTTTTGACAAAGAGGAAAATTAACATTGATTGTTTTATGCATTAGACACAGGATTGGTGTTTTCAGAAAGTACAGCTAACTTTTTCATACTAAGGTGTTTTGTTTTTTTTGACGTTTTCTCCCTCAAAGCTACAGCCAGTCGAGCTGTAACTTAACGCACAGCTTTTCTCTGTTGTGAAACATTTTAGTTGTGAACCTTTGAACTCAATTTTTATGTCAAGCAGACAGTTCTTATCCCATTGGCAGATTATTGGCTTGATGGATAAATGGATTGATTTGAGGAGTATTTCTGTATTTGTGTCTAATGTGTTCAGCATCAGTTTTTGATACAGAGATGCTGAGACTGCCCGGCCCAGTCAGGTAAACTCTACCAATGTGGAGATGACCTCTCCCTCCCAGAGGTCAGGGATGTTCAAGGTCATCTATTAATGACTCCTGCTGGATTATCAGTGTACTGTGGGCAGTGACTCAGGACATGTCAGAGACAGAGTCAGTGATATGAAGTAAGGCGTGGACCTGCCTGTGGCCTGGTCTCCATTTAATCACAGGATTCTCTGTAAAATGCCAGCGATGGTTTGGCAGAAAATTCTCAGAATTTTCCCAGAATGCTCGGGTTGTACCTCAGTGTCTTCACAATGCGTATTTGCCGTGAAGGTGGCAGAGTTTCCACCAAGTTGCTGATTAGAGGTTGCTTCAACAACATGTGTACCTAATTAAGTGGCCCGTCAAAGTATAGTCATTATCATGTTTTATAAAGTGGATTTTCAAGCTGTCAGTTTGAAAATCTGTGGATGAAGATTTATTTGTTATGACACTTTTAAATCAAATAAGTCATACTAGGCAGATGTTACCACCTTTTGGCTAACAGTAAGCTACTTTTGTGGTATATAGGTTAGCTTACTGTTATTTTCAGTTTCCATTTAGAAAAGATTAAATGTAGACTAGAATTTCAGTTACTACACTGTATATGTTTATACTGTTATTTTTAGTTTCCATTTAGAAAGGATTTTATATTTGATTTAACTTAGACTAGAATTTCAGTCAGTTTTCATTTCAAATTTTTTAATGTCACTGTTACAATGAGGTAGAATGTGGTTTAATAAGTAAACACATGGACGGATGGAGCCAGAGGTTCCGCAGGTGGAGTCTTGTCCTCACACTGTCAATAGAGCGAGCGCTGCTTTTGTCAGGTCTGCGTGAAGAAAAAGAAGTTACAGTTGTCTGTTTTCTTTTGGAGGATTTGAATATTTGAACATAGACGTCATAACGGTGACTATACTTTGGATCATATTGTGTGGCTCTAACGTGTGTCAATCCTGTCACAGGACATACTCGTACGTAGCTCTTGCTCTTTACCTCCAGATGCTAACGTAATAGACTTTACTAAATTGTTTCTGTTGCTGAAGTTTCAGTCTCAGTTAATTAGCTGTAAGTTACATGTGTGAACTTAGGTTTTAGATACAAAGTCAACAAAAGTCAAGCAAAGTTGCTTTAATGTATTACATCGTTTTTGTTATTTTCTCGGTGGCCTGTCATGTTTCGTTTGCATTCTCAGGATGCTGAGGTATTTTTTTTTGTTAGTGAACAGAGAGAAGTTCAAAGTTTGTCCTGTAGGTGGCACTAGAAAATATACTATGAGACGCATTATGTGTGGCATTACCTTTAGGTTGTTTGGCCTCTGGGACTCACTTCCATTAGCATTAATGTTGCAGTCAGTGATCATGCAGTCACACTCACTGTTGTTCACTGGTTTTAGGATGTACAATTGTTGCCCCCCCCTCCCACCCCCTCCATCACACTCTACCTGCAGCTTTCTCACTCCTTATGGTTAACTCTGCCTCTGTTCTGGATTGTAGGCTAACACAGGAACAGGAAGGGCTTTGTCCCGCTCAGGATTTGTTGTAAACCGTCAGGTTTTCCAGGAGCTCAGAACTATGGTGAGCTCAGACCTGCGCCAGGGTCAAAACTGGAATGATGATAATGGTGACGGTAATGGTGATGGTGATGACTATAATGATGATGCAAACCTGGCTTCTGGCAGAGCACCTCCCACCTGCCCCTCCTTCTGCCCCTTTCCTTCTACCCTCAGGTGAACAGAGTGGTAGTTGAAGAAGTGAAGAAGAGCAAAGGCCCGTTTGAAGGGGGATGATTCACTTTGGTCTGCGGCTGAAACGCTTTAATACAGAGGATGTAAAAAGTTTACACACTGTAAAAAAACAAATCCTGTTTTTTTTTACTGTAAAACAACCAGATATTCCATTTCAGAACTCTTTCATCCATAAAGATCTGAAATCAAATATCTTGGTTTCACAGTTTTACTTAAAAAAAAACGTGGCATCTTACCGGGGTGTTTAGACTTTTTATGTCCGCTCTGTGCTTTCAGATTAGAATGACAGTGATGATGATGATGATGATGGTGATGAAGATGATAATGAAGGATACCAGGACTGTACCGTTGCAGGGGCAGAGAGATCTCCTGCTCTTGACTCTCTGCTCTGAGCACTGCATGCCCTGGTGGCGGCCCGAGGCACTGCATGTACAACTGCATGTTTAGGCCGGACATGCATCACTGCAAACTTAAAGGGACAGGATTGTACTTTTAAAGAGTGGTTGAATGAGTTGCTGACACATTGTCAACACTGCCCACCTCCCCCCACCTTTGTGCACGGCATCATCTCCATGACTCCACCCTGGAGCCAGGCGCTAAGTTTTACAGAACAAATGGCTGCCAGAGGAAACGCCAACAGATACTAGAACATCAACAGAGTTCTGCCACTTCACAACGTAAACGTTAGCATTCTGTTTTTCCCCTTTTTTTCCCTGCTGTTAGACAGCTTCTTCAACCAGGAAATTGATGCGTGTTAACGACTCCCTCCCCCACACAAAAGTCCGTATCGAACATCGGTGATTTAACGTCGCAGCACAGAGACACGTTGATCCACGTTAGAGGGAAAGTGTATTTTGTGACATGAAAGTGTGGAATCCTTTATTGACATTTCACCTTTGACACAAATTGACCACATGAGGCAGCAGCAGCAGTCTTCTTAAGCCAACGTTGCAGTTTCATTCCTCATTCATTATGGACCTCGGTGTGGAGGAGTTTACAGTCACAGAAAACAAAAACCTTTTTTCTGTCGGTAAGATATCGTAAGAACATTCTTACTGCTTTATCTCAGTGTTTTAGCCAGAGTTTAAATATGTTGTTCTGTGACTTTGGTGTTGGAGTGACTTTATTTAGATCCACCTCAGTGACACAGACTGACCACAGGGGGCAGTTTCTGTATCCCTGGTGGAATAAATGAAATGAAATGAGAGGAGAGGAGAGATCAGATCCTACTGATCAGAATAAAATATAATTTACAATATTAAGAAAATTATAATTGTATAATATATACAAGTATAGGTCAAACTTTTTATCTGCGTCTCAGGACTTATTTGTCCCCTGCTGCCCCCTGTAGTTAGATTGTGCCAATGCAGTGCACAGATGTATTCACTGAAGGCGACAGCAGCAGGTGAGAGGGCGTGTGCTGTGATGTTAAAACACATTTTTTTCTTATGGACTTCTGTGTGGGCGAGACATTCACTGTAGTCCTGCTGTGACTCAGAAACCGCTTTCTCCTCCGCACACATGATATTTGCTGCAGTTACTGCAAATACCATCTCACCGCCGCCAGCACTGGCTCTCCCCCTCACACCTGACCCCGCCCTAACCCCGACCCCGGTCTGTAGCCTGGTCCAGCTGAAGAGTGAATGGCTTCTCTTGGCCGGTGGCAGTCTTGATTAAAATGCCTGTGATAATGCAGAGATCTGACTAGCCACATTGGCTGAGGTTCGATTCCCTGCAGTAGCAGAAGCCATGGTCACAAAAGCGTCTTTTCTAATTTTTGTGTTTCTTCCCTCCTTCTCTCCTGCTCTGTTTCTTTCCCCTGTCCCACCCTCTTCTCTGAACTTGTCTCTTCTCCTCCCTCCTCCTATCATCTGTCTCCTTTTCCTCTCTCCTCTTCTTCGTGTTTCCTCCCTCCTCCCTGCTCTTACATCATCTCCTGTCCTCTCCTCTTATCTCCTGATTTTTTTTCTTCCCTTCCTCCTCCTGTATTTTGGCCTCGTCTTTCCTCTCTTGACTGTGTGATCATCATCCATCACTGTCCTTCTTCATCACTCGCTAATCTTCATCTCTTCTCTCTTCTTCACCTTCACCCCCCCCTTCCCTCCTCTTCCTCCATCCACTTTCTACTTTCTTACCACTTTGGTTTTTCCTCATCCTCCCTCCTCTCACTCTCTATCGTTGCATCTTTCCTCCTCCCTTTGCCTCTTTTTGCTTCCGTTCCTATCTCACATCTGCATTTTATCATCTTTACTCATCTTTTTTGCCCCTTCTCTTTTTTTCTTTCTCTCTCTTACTTTCCTCTGTTTCTGTTCCTCACATCCCTCTTTCTTTTTCTTTCATGTTCCTCCCCTTTTGTTCCTTCTCAGATAAATGGCTCTTTTAAGTTGGGAGCAGCTCGAGTTCTGTCAGGCTGGCAGATGCAGTGTTTAGTCCCGAGTCTGCAGGACAACGCCAACATGAACGGGACTTCGGAGCAGGCCGACATCCTGCCGCCAAACTGCATGGTCAAAGACCGCTGGAAGGTGGTGAGTGTTCGACCACTCACACAAACACACTGGAGTTGAGCTCCTTCACCACAGTCGGCATCACCTACGCTGTGGGATTCCACTGTACAACCAGCCCGAGACTCGATCTACCTCAGCTCAGGTCTACAATCATCAGTAGTCTTCCTCATCAGAGGAGATTACCAGTACGATAACACGCTTATCAGAACACTCACGTGTTTAATCCACGTGATCGGGCTTTAAAAAAAATAAAAAACACATCTGCGCATCTCTGTCTCTGTAATCAGACGTTATGCAATAAAGCTAGCTCCTGTTTCGACCAATCAGAGAGCAGCACTGAGCCCGCAGGCTCCTTACACTTCACTGATCAATGTGGAGTGTTCACGGAAACTCACGTACAGACACGCACACAAACACAGAATCACTGGATTTCACTAACTCAGAGCTATTCATAGTTCAGCATTTTCACATGACAAGAATCTTAAGATACAAACCAAAACAATGGCCTAGAAAAAGCAAAAGCTTAATATAAAAGCTAGAAAAGTTTAAGTTAGCCAAAAGGAAAGTAATACATTTGTATTAGGCAAGATAGCTGTTATCTGTAAATTGCCAAACGTTAGTCCAAAACAAGATAACTTTAGCTTAAATATATCTACTGTCATTGTTTAATAAAAATATATCAATGTGAATTGGTTAAAAAAACTGACCTTTATTTGAATTTTGATTAAAAAAAGCATTACTGAAAAGTACCCAATATTATGTAGCAAAAACAAAACTTAACATTTTATTTAAGCTAGTGTTATATCTTTTATTTATATATTGGTTATCTTTGCATTTATTCTAACTGAAAAATGTATTTTGTTGGGCTAACTTGGAATGTTTTCTGTTGTGTTTTAGCCCTTAGCTGTATTGCTAACTCTGTGTTCTAGCCCTTAGCTGTATCGCTAACTCTGTGTTTTAGCCTTTAGCCTGTGGTTTTGTGAGACCTTAGTTTGGTTTCCTCCGTGTTGTCTGTGCCGCAGCTAAAGAAAATTGGTGGTGGTGGGTTTGGGGAGATATACGAGGCCTTGGACCTACTGACACGGGAGAATGTGGCGCTGAAGGTGGAGTCTGCCCAGCAGCCCAAACAGGTGCTGAAAATGGAGGTGGCCGTGTTGAAGAAGCTGCAGGGTGAGAGCTACTGGACTATCGACAAAAAAAACCAAAACAATCAACATTAGAAAATTGTTTTGAAAAGAAGCAAAGTAGAAAGGCTAGTGCTTTTTCTTAGCCCAAACCTTTTTTGCTTTTTTTCCAGGTAAAAATCATGTCTGTAAGTTTATTGGCTGTGGAAGAAACGACAAATTCAACTACGTGGTGATGCAGCTGCAGGTGAGTCAGTGACAAAACGTTGGGGTGGAAGAGGAATTACGTAAACCACAGGTTTATAGCTAAAATAGCTAGAAATGTCTTTCTTTTTTTTTTTTAAATAAATAAACACAGGCACAAAAGTTAGCGCAGCAATAGCTGAAACGAAATAAAGAATATTATTAAAAATAAATAAACATGAATCCAGAAATACTGTAGCAAAAGGGCAAAATATAATACGATTAAATGACTAATTACGTTAGCTGAGACATGGGGTCGGAGTCCAGGACAAAACCTGCTAAAATGTTTCTGTAAAATGTTCGTTGTTGATGAGTGAGTGGTTCTAGATTAAATTTCATTCAACAGGGAGATAAAACAGCAGATATTTATAGATTTATTGATTTGTAAGTTGCTCCTATCTCCTAATGTCATGCTCTGCGACAGGGTCGAAACCTAGCCGACCTGCGAAGGAGTCAGCCTCGAGGAACCTTCACCATGAGCACCACGCTGAGGTTGGGGAAGCAGATCCTGGAGTCCATCGAGGCCATTCACTCAGTCGGCTTTCTGCACCGTGACATCAAACCGGTACGAGGGCAGTGAACGTCTACAGATGGTCAACATCAGAATCTCTGACCCCTGACTGGTGTTTTCTGCTCCACAGTCCAATTTTGCCATGGGTCGACTTCCCTCCACCTACAGGAAGTGCTACATGTTGGACTTTGGTCTTGCACGGCAGTACACCAACACAACTGGAGAGGTTCGACCGGTAAGAGGACACCACCCTTCTCAGCCTCCTGCTTCTCTTTTCTTCCTGTCAGCAGCACATGAATATTTAATAGACCTAGATGCAGCAGACTTTAGGCTGGGTCACTCTCCCATCGGAAGTCCACGGAGAAAACCACAGTGAGCTTACTCCACAGCACAAAGGCTTAATGTACACTCAGAAAAATCACATTTTCTTTTATTGGTTTTCCAGCGTTTAAAAACACTCAACACAACCTGGTTAGTTTAGTAACGTTTATGATCGTTCTCTAGTAGGGCTGTCAAAGTGAACGCAGTATTTGTGTGAATTCATCGTCGAAGTCAGATTCAAAATTTGAACTTTTATTTTTCTTCTAGATGCTACATTAAAAATGAAAAATATCAGCACCGTTTCATTCTTGCTACGTTAATTTTTTTTGAATATCAGCACCGTTTCATTCTTGCTACATTAATCTTTTTTGTTTCATTTGATTATAAGTTTATTTGACAATTGTTCTGCTATGTTCAGGTTACCATGTGTAGATTTTTATTCATTTATAATTTCTGAAAGCTACATGTTTTTCCTGCCCTAAATGTGGTTAGTCTGTTATAGCTGGTTGTTTGTTTCTGTTTTTTTTGTTGTTGTATTTTTTATTATATTTTCACAGAGAGTCCTGTTCATCCTGGTTGTGTCACTTTTGATTCTTTTGTGTTCAATTTCATTAAGTTTTATTTTAAGTTTTTGTTGTTTGTGTTTTTGTTTTGTTTTCTTACAGTTCTTTTGGGATTTATGATTTTGACACGCATGCACCGCGTTTCTCCATCACCTCAAAGGTTACCCAGGAATGTGAGTGCTTTCACTGACAGAGGGTCTTCGCTGCAGTACTCACCTTCACCACTGAGACATATGCTCACAAAATAGAAGAAACAACATAGGGTTCACCTAAATAATTTATTGTTGGTTTGGGAATATTTTTAAGGAAATGTCTTAATATCTTTTTTTCTTTTTTTTAGCTAATGTTTATTTAGAAAAGGGCCAACATTTTGATATTTTTAGCTCGCCAAAGACATTCACTTTAAATGTCTCCTGGCTCTCTGATTATCTTCATTAATCTTTTTAACATTTTTTGCTATTGTTTTGTTAATTTTGTCATCTGTTGGTGACCTTTAGTCATCTTTTTATTTAATTCAATTTAAATTTAAAACTCAATTTTGAGTAGCTCCTTTTGCTAAGTCTTACTGTGCGATAGCTGATAAGTGATGAGCGCCCTCTTTGGTGTTGAGGAGCAGTGTGACCCTCTGCTCATTTTTTGTTTGTTTTATTATGTTGTCATTAATCCAATAATTACGTATTATTATTATTTTTGTGTTGTGTGAAAACTACCACGACAAACCTGCAGCGACTGTGACTCAGCACCGAGACAAAAGGTTTTATGATTTAAAATTTTTTTTAATGTTTTCAGCCCCGGACGGTGGCAGGTTTCAGAGGAACGGTCCGCTACGCTTCAGTCAACGCCCACAAAAATAAGGTCTGACCTGACACCGCATTTCTATTAGTATTATTATGAAATAATATTTAGATTTTTTTTTAACTTGTAGTACTATTAGTCTTAAAGGTTTCATTGTATCTGTTGAAACAAATGTAACCTGTTTTTTGCTTTAGTAAGAAGTAGTTTTAAGCTTGTTCACACACATTAAGGTTACAGGTAGCATCAATGATTCGCTGATTGCATATTGTTAACAGAGATTTTTTTTTGTTCTTTTTCCAGGAAATGGGTCGTCATGACGACCTGTGGTCACTTTTTTATATGCTTGTGGAGTTTGCCGTAGGACAGCTGCCGTGGAGAAAAATTAAGGACAAGGTTCAACTCTTTTATTTCAACATAGAGCAACAGCAATACACAATTTCAGCACAAAAAAAATTTTTTTTGCTTTCTTGCTATGACCGAGCGAAATTTCAACATTTTTTTTCTGTTCCTCAGGAACAAGTTGGTCAGATTAAGGAGCGTTACGACCATCGAATGCTGCTAAAACACATGCCTTCAGAGTTTAATGTGTTCTTGGACCATGTTCTGGCCCTGGACTATTACACTAAACCAGACTACCAGGTGAGGAATTCAGTTTTAAGATGTTTTACTGAAATTAGCTGCAGATCAGAACAACATTTCTCTCTAAATCTGTTCTTTAAACAAGTCAAAAAATATCAAACATGAACTAAAGTTATGTTAAAACATACATCTGTTTCCTTTGTGTTTGTGTGTGTGTGTGTGTGTGTGTGTGTGTGTGTGTGTGTGTGTGCGCAGCTGTTGATGTCAGTGTTTGTGTGTGTGTGTGTGTGCGTGTGCGCAGCTGTTGATGTCAGTGTTCGAAAACAGCATGAAGGAGCGAATCATCACTGAGAACGAGCCCTTTGACTGGGAGAAAGGAGGCGGTGATGTCACCTTGTCCACCAGCACCTCCACCCAACCACAGCACAACACCCGACCCACTGCTGCCATGGTGGGGTAAGTGGCAGGTTTCAGAGGAACGGTCCGCTACGCTTCAGTCAACGCCCACAAAAATAAGGTCTGACCTGACACCGCATTTCTATTAGTATTATTATGAAATAATATTTAGATTTTTTTTAACTTGTAGTATTATTAGTCTTAAAGGTTTCATTGTATCTGTTGAAACAAATGTAACCTGTTTTTTGCTTTAGTAAGAAGTAGTTTTAAGCTTGTTCACACACATTAAGGTTACAGGTAGCATCAATGATTCGCTGATTGCATATTGTTAACAGAGATTTTTTTTGTTCTTTTTCCAGGAAATGGGTCGTCATGACGACCTGTGGTCACTTTTTTATATGCTTGTGGAGTTTGCCGTAGGACAGCTGCCGTGGAGAAAAATTAAGGACAAGGTTCAACTCTTTTATTTCAACATAGAGCAACAGCAATCCACCACAAAAAAATTTTTTTTTTGCTTTCTTGCTATGACCGAGCGAAATTTCAACATTTTTTTTCTGTTCCTCAGGAACAAGTTGGTCAGATTAAGGAGCGTTACGACCATCGAATGCTGCTAAAACACATGCCTTCAGAGTTTAATGTGTTCTTGGACCATGTTCTGGCCCTGGACTATTACACTAAACCAGACTACCAGGTGAGGAATTCAGTTTTAAGATGTTTTACTGAAATTACCTGCAGATCAGAACAACATTTCCCTCTAAATCTGTTCTTTAAACAAGTCAAAAAATATCAAACATGAACTAAAGTTATGTTAAAACATACATCTGTTTCCTGTGTGTTTGTGTTTGTGTGTGTGTGTGTGTGTGTGTGTGTGTGTGTGTGTGTGCGTGTGCGCAGCTGTTGATGTCAGTGTTCGAAAACAGCATGAAGGAGCGAATCATCACTGAGAACGAGCCCTTTGACTGGGAGAAAGGAGGCGGTGATGTCACCTTGTCCACCAGCACCTCCACCCAACCACAGCACAACACCCGACCCACTGCTGCCATGGTGGGGTAAGAGCCAGAACACCTCAGAGTCAATGAGTCAATGAGGAGCCCGGCGTATACTGACACCAAAGACGTCGTGTCCACATCCTGCAGGGAGTCTTATCTGGACCACTGGTCTAATCTCACTTTGGTTTTTGCCCCTCCACAGGGCTATTGTCACACCTGTTCCAGGAGATCATCAGCGGGAGAACACTGACGATGTTCTACAGGACGAACATCTCAGTGATCAGGAGAACGCACCTCCAGCCCCTCCAACTCGAACCCCTGGGGACGTGGGTGTACAGCACGCAGTGGAGTCGGGCGAGGCCTGGGAGGACACAGACTTCAACCGCAACAGACTCAGAATCAGCCTGAACAAGGTGAGAGCGAGTGCCGGGCGGAGAAATCTGAAGACCCTCATCTGAGTTTTAGTGTCTAAAATTACTGAGCCTGCGGTTCAACATTTAATACGTCCTTCTGTCCTTTCTCAGGGGGCTCAGGAAGAGGAGACAGGACGGGCGACGTGTCCAGTGTCACCAGTTAGAGGTGGAGCTCCGGAGTCACCAACGGCTCAAGGTCGGTCCTTACGGTACCGTCGGGTCAACAGCCCTGAATCTGACCGCCTGTCTGCTGCTGAAGGCCGTGTTGATGCTTACGGACAGAGGTACCTGAGGCTAAAGTATCAGATCACAAACTTGAACCTGGATGTGGATTCAGTGTGTAGTCTGCTTGAAGAACTTCATGTTTTTGGTGAAATACTCAGTCACCACTGACGCTGTCTTCCCATGACTTCCTTTAATGTCCTCCAGGTCTAGGATGGACATGCTTGGATCACCATCTCGTCACGTTTACTCCTCCCAGCCAGCTCAGATGTTGTCCATCGACCCTGCATGTAGGGGTGACCGTCAGGTCAGCGGTCGTCAGGAGGTCTCTGTGGCGTCTGTGGACCAGGAAGCCCACAGCAACGCCTTCATTCGCTCGGTTCCGTTGGCTGAAGAAGAGGACTTTGACAGCAAAGAGTGGGTGATCATCGACAAAGAGACTGAGTTACGAGACTTTCAGCCAACCACGTCAGGGACAACTGACGAGGAACCAGAGGAGCTCCGACCCATCGAGGAGCAGGAGGAGAGAAGAAGGCTACGGGTGGGAGGTAAGAACTTCAACTTTGTTGGGTCGTCAGGTTTAACATTTGAATTAAGCCCTAATTCTTACAGGACTTTAGTTGTTATGGATGCAGGGCAGTTCTGGTGGAAATCAAGATCAGAGAGGTTGGTTTTGTGAACATAGTTCCTTCTCTCTCCAGCAGGGGGCGAGTTGGTGGTTCGTCCAAAAACGCACGCTCGGGAAAGCAGTAGAGGGATGATAACGCTAGCAGAGGAGGAGGCATCGAGAAGGAGCGGCGGAAGCCCTGCCCAGTCGCCTTGTCATTCTCTGCCGTCAGGACGTCCACGCCGGAGAGAGTCGGAGCCGATTGGACCTCAGAGACCGGTAAGAGAAACAGCTAGTAAATCAGAGGAGAGCTGACCACAGGCTGGCAGACAGTGTAGCAGTTCAGACAGCTACTGAATGCTTTGCTTTTACCAAACACTTCCACTAGGGGTGCTATACAGTAGCTGCCGAACTGTTTATGGGTCTGTTAACCGTGTGGCTCAAACAAATCCAGCTTGAGTCTGAGGTCAGGTTCCAGTTCTGTTAGTGTGGGCAGTGGCCAGGCTGTAATGAGGGGTTTTAAATTAGTAAAATTAAATTAAATTCAAATCTGTTTATATTTCCCATATAAGTTTATTACATGTACAACACATTTTACTAGAAAAAAGTGTCCTTACTGATTTTTACGTAAATGATAAATGAAACTTGGTTTTAATCAATAATTACCAAGTTTATAACTAAACACACGGGGTAACCGCCTCGTGTTTGCAGTCATGACATCATAAAAGAAGCTCACGCTGGATTTGTCCTTTTAATGTGTCCATGAAGAATGTTGGAAGTTAACTGGTGAAAATGTGTCACATGCAACTGTGTCTTTTAAACACCAGTAATTTTAGAAAACAGCTCATAGTACTATGTACTGAGGCCTTTAATCCAAGTGGAGAAAAATCACACGCTGACTAGATAATTATGTGTTTAATCCAATTTAAGAGGGAACCTTAAGGAGCTTAAACAAAGTGTTTTATTCAATTCCGGTGTTTACAACAAATACTGGCTAATTATAGGTGTTGAAGTTCGTTTTACCTAGAGTATAAGACAAAAATATTAACCTGTGTAAAGTTCAAGTGTCGACTAGTTTCTACATAAGCTCACAGATACGGCTGAGTGAAAGTGTTGTCGTCTTTAGGCTAAGGCTAGCTGTCGTTTATGCTAGCTTTTTTAATAGCCTTTTTATAATATTGGGTTTTGTTTAAAGTTTTAGAGAAAGTAATACATTTGCTTGACAAAATTACTTGTCATTTTAGTTGTAGTCAAAGTCGAGCTAATGAAAAATACTAGTTAGTCCAAAGTACATGTGACAGACTAGTTGCACGGCGTTCTTTTTTTGCTTAAAGCATCTGCCTGTGACACATTTATTATACAGGAAACAAATGTATTTCTGTTCAGTTTGTGTCAGTTCTGCTGCCATGTTGTTTTGGACCAACATCAGATTCAGAGTTGAATTCAAATTGTATTTTGTTTTCCCCTTGGAATTTCTTTTTTTCCTCATAATTATATTTTTCCGTTATTTTTATTTTATTTGCCTTGGTTGGTGGTTTGATTCAGGAGTGAATGAGAAACTGCTGCGACTGTGATCTGTAACTGTGCTTTTCAGCATGTTGCTGATGTTAATTTCACTGTGATGGTGATTTGCTGTGTTTACTCATATCTGTGCACACACACACACCGTTGTTGACTGTTGATGACAAGGTTATAAATAACAGACGCTCAGTAAACCAGGCCGTCAACGGATTCTGCCAAAGCTGACGACATGTTCAGGTTCAGTGCCTTATGCACCACATACCTTGTCCTCAATGTGGCGCTGTGAAAATGTAAATAGGTCATTGACCTACATTCATGCTGTGATGTTCAAACTTTCAATGTTTAGTGCAGACTGGGTTCTGTAAAATGGAGTAACAGAAAATATTTAACATCTTTAAAAAATCGGTCTAAAACAACCCCTGAGAGGAGACTGACCAAAACCAATAATTCTGGGATCAATCTTTTAGATCTTCTTAAAACAACATGTACAAATTGCACAAAAATGGAGCAGCTTTTTTGTTTGTATTGACATGATCTATAGTTTTCTAGTCCTGAATTTTGGGGATGCTGTGGAGCAGATGGGGAATTTGGGACATTTGTTTTGGTTCTGTATTTTTGGCTGAAAAAACAGGGACACTCCTGTTTTCCCCGGAGGTCAGCTAGCTCTGTGGTACTGGTCAAAGATTTTTACCCTAAAGTTGTTTTGGTAGTGTAGTGTAGCGGTTAGCACGTTTGCTTCGGAAGCAGACTGTAGTGTAAATGCTGGGAGAGTAGAAGTTGTAAGTTTTCTATGTGCAGAATATTGATGTTTACACTGAGTATTAAGAGTCTACACACTATAGTTAAAATATCAGGTTTTTCTAGTGTAAAATGTATCATTTGTTAACTAGGGATATTTCTCTCTATGTACTTTTAGGGATGGGATTTTAGGTTGCTTTGTGTGCATTTGTTTTTGACCTGAGGTTATGAAATATCGAGATGTAGGGGTGTTTTTTAAAGACATACTTAAATCTTTTAAGATTTATAAATAGACCAAAAATAAATTAAAAGAAGAGAATATAGTTCAAACTGTGATTTTATAATTTATATACCTGGACTTTTCGCTGTTTGCTATAATGAAATCTTTGCTCAGAGCCTTTAAAAGAAACATCCGCCTCTCCTTTAGCCTCTGTGCTAGCTGCGGCTATGGCTACTTCATTCTGCTTCTGCTGTGGTAAACTTTTAAAAGATTTATTGTGTTGCTTCATTCTGCTTCTGCTGTGGTAAACTGTCACATTTTGAGTTCTTCACACGACATTTTCCTACTGTCATATTTTGAGTTCTTCACATGTTACGTACAAACTGCAGCTGGGTTTGTGTCCTCACACGTGGTACATTAAAATGTTCCGGTGAAAATGTATTACATTAGCCGGTTAGCTGCTAACAGTTTATGCTAATAGCCCTGCTGTGGTGCAGGAGAACGACATCAGGAGTGTGAGGCTAGTGCTGACTGCTTAGACCAGAGAACAATAACATAAATAATTATTAGCCGATAATTTAACAGATCTGAAATTAGCCTACACTATCTTATGGATACAGGAGCTAAATTTGTTTTTTTAAGTTGCTTTCTAAGCATGTACTCTTTTAATAATCTTTGTGAAAACACCTTTGGATTTCAAGGCCGCGTCAAGTCTTTTATATAGGTGGAGTTAGAGTTTTCTGGAGCTGTGGGGCACAATAGTCCTAAAGTACAACAGGGTCTGGGGGTGACTGCAGAAAAGGTTTGGGAACCAGTGAGTTAAAAGGAAACTTAAATCTGTGTTTGTGTTTTTTTTATACCAGTTAGTGATTTATTAGTGATTTATTTTAGTTTTTAGTATGTATGCTTCTTTGGTTCAATTTCGATGATAACATTTCCATTTTGATTTATTTCCATTATTGTTTATTCATTCACAACAAGGTCTGCACTTTCAAAACATTTTATCACATATATGTCACCTCCCTCTTTAGGTGTAAAATTGTCATGAACATGAACATGTTAACCCCTTTTTTCAACCATTTATTTCATCACTTACAGTCGATCTATATACTGTAACTCTCAAACCCAAGTCTAGAACCAAAGGTGTGTCCCTTTAATGAATATCTTTGACTTTACTGAACGCAGAACTGCATTTCTGTGTGTCCTAAACAAAAGGTTTTGCCTTTATATTTGGTGGCTTTGGTGGGTCTTACTTGTTTTAACCCCTTTAAAAACCTGGACAGCTCCTTTAGTAACACATTTTAGCATTGTCTGGTGGAATCAGATCTTTTTGCCATTTTAAATAATACCGCCGTACTAATTATATTTGACTCACTCACAGAAATCTGGAGGTTTAATTGGGTTTTGATGATAATATTTTTCATGATTACAAACACACTTCTCTTTCTTAACACTTTTCTTACGTCATTCAGACTTAAACCAAAACCTGAAATTTTTTTCTGTCCGTTGCACACTGATGCAGGAAATTCAATTTGTGCTTGACGTGATTTTTTTTTTTCATGACTTGACACCATAGCAACGTAACTCCGACTGATGCTGATTTTGTGAGTTCTAGTTTTAGACGAGGATTTAAAACCCCCAAAACTCAACTTCATTTGGACTCAGACATGGACTGAAGTGTCGTTTAAATTATGTATTATTTAAACATTTTAAAACGTGAGCTCATGCACAGTGATCTCTCTCTCTCTCTCTCTCTCTCTCTGTAGTAAATCTTGCTCTTGCTGCAGTTTGGTTTGCGTGGCCATTTTAAGTCAGGTGCCATTTTGCAGGCGGTCTTTTAATCGTTGATAATCACTGACACATGCGTTTAAAAAAAAAAAAAAGTTTTTGGAAACACATTTGCGATCTGTGCAGCGATTTTATTTGTCGACCCAGCGCCAGTCCTCCATCGTCGCCGCCGCCATCGACGTCTGCCATTCTCTTTTTTTACTCCTCTCCAGTTACTCCTCCCCCTTATCCCTCGCCCTTCCTCCCTGATTCCTTTGCTCTGCCCCCTTCCTCCCTTTACCCCTCCTTCGACCTTCGTCTTTAAATGTACGCAGTACGTGAAGTTTGACTCACCTGAGGAGACACACAACATCAGTGGGACGAGACAAGAAGAAGTAAAGTGATGTTTCGGGGTAAGCACAGTTTAGGACTAGTCCTTTCTTTTTTTAAATTTCACCACTATTCTCTGACTCAGCTTCTTCTCCTCTTTCTACTCCTCCTCCTGGCTCTTCTGCTTTTTTCTTTCCTCGTTTGTGTGTCTGTGTTTTGTGTGTGCTTGATGGCTTCACCACTCTGTTCTGTTCCCTGTTTTTTTTTCTCATTTTCTTTTTGCATCTCCAGTGCAACATTTACTAATTTGTTTATTTGATTTGTTTTCCTGAATACTTTCCTTCAGATTGAAGTCAGACTCAGATTGTTGTAGACTAGTTTGTGCTCAGTGCTCCTGCTGGTGACTTTGTGCTTTTTTTTGTTGTGGGGAGGGGTGTTTTTATTACCATGTTTTTACAGAGAATTTATATTTTTATAACAGAATTATAAAATGATAATATGACAAAATGTTACATGACAAATATTACGCTAATAACACTGAAAACATTACAAGGGTTGATTACTTCTTTACCACAATTTTGTAATTTGCCCAAACATTGAAATGTATTTACAAAATGTCATAGTTTAACTACAATGCTGTAATGTTGAAAAAACATATTTTTACCAAAAATATGTTTCCAAAAACATTCACAACATTTCATGT